CCCGGGCCCCGTCCCGCTGTGACCTTCGCCGGCCCGCGGCCCGAGCCCACGCCTGTCCGCACCCCTGACTCTGGGCTCCCTATCACCCGCCGCCGACCTCCCTCCGAGCGCCACCCACCCCCTCTTCGTGCGAACAGACCTTGGGTTCTTCCTGCCCCCTCTTTGCAGGAGGAGAGAACCTCTCGGGGGCGCCTTCCCTCCCCACCCCCGCCCCCCCTCCTCCGGTGGCCCAGGGCGAGCCGCTTGACCTCTCTGAACCTCCGTTCCCTTGTCTGTTGCAGGGGGGGTGGGGGTAGGGGGAGAATTAAATGCGATTATACACGTTGTTTCCGACAAGGAGACCAATTACAGACTCTCCGTCCCTTGCAGCGTCCGCGCGGTCCAAGTTCTATGTTCGGGAGCCGCTGCACGACAAGCCTGATTGGCTGAAAGTGGGGCTGACCTTGGGCACCACCGTCTTCCTGTGGGCCTATGTAAGTCTTGATTCCCAGTGCAATAGGATAGTTATGGATGTGCTGATAACATATTTCTCCGTGAAGGAAATGCCAGGATTGCAAGTATTAAGGTTTTAGGGGCATTGAGAAGATAGGGTGAAGCTGAAATGTGTCATTCATTGTTACTTAGCATGGGTTTGTCATGAGTGGCGGTGTTACTAAAGGGTGTCCCAAAATTCACGCAAGAAGTAATTTTGATAGAAAACACAGGTTTATAATTTAAAATTGTAAATTTTTTATTGATTCATAAAGTATACAGTCTAGGGTTATGTATGGAATAGCATATCGGGTAAATGGCCTCCAGGGTGCCACATGCCATACAGCCCGAGAAACAATTCAACTACTGCATGAGTCATTTCCTGGTCCTGTAATTTCCCGTTTTGGTGATCAGAATTGGCCGCCCAGATCATGCGACTTAATGCCGTTGTACTTTTTTCTTTGGGGTTTTTTGAAGTCTAAGGTTTATCCCAATAAGCCCACGACCACCCACGCCTTGAAGGAGCTGTATCAACGAAATTCAGCCACATTTATGCAAACGGTCATGGAAAATTTCAACAAAAGAGTGCATATGTGCTAGCAAAGCCATGGAGGCCATTTACCTGAAATACTATTCCGTACATAACCCTATACTGTATACTTTATGAATCAATAAAAAATTTACAATTTTTAATTATAAACCTTGTTTTCTATCAAAATTACTTCTTGCGTGAATTTTGGGACACCCTTTACTTATTATCCTATATTTAATTTCTTTTTTTTTTAAATATGTATTTATTGATTTCAGAGAAGAAGGGAGAGGGAGAGAGAGATAGAAACTTCAGTGATGAGAGAGAATCATTGATCGGCTGCCTCTTGCACGCCTGCCCCACACTGGGGATAGAGCCCACAATCCTGGCTTGTGCCCTGACCGGGAATCAAACAGTGACCCAAACCATGACCTCCTGGTTCCTAGGTCGATGCTCAACCACCAAGTCACGCTGGCTGGGCTGTGTCTACTAGTAATTTCTTAAGGAGGATGGAGACTGGTTGGGGTTTTATGAAGGCACTTTTCTCATGTGTCGTAGAGACAAACCATCAATGAACAGGTATATAAAAGTTAAATCACATTAGATTTCCAAAATATAAGATTTTAAAAAATTGATTTGGGTGGGAAGGAGAGAGAGGGAGAGAAAACATCAGTTATTGTTCCGCTTATTTATGCATTCATTGGTTGCTTCTTGTATGTACCCTGACCAGAAACCTTGGTGCATCTGGAGGATGCTCTAACCAACTGAGCTACCTGGCCAGGGCCAAAACATAAGATTTTAATCATTGGTTTGTATAAATACATTGTTGGAAATTATACTTACTGTGTAGGTATAGCAGCCTTTCTTCTTTTTTTTTTTTTTTTGGTCTTTACAGTATGCCAAATGCTTTATATATAAAAATTAATTTAGCCCAGCTGGCTTGGCTCCATGGTTGAACATCAACCTATGAACCAGGAGGGCACAGTTCAATTTCCAGTCAGGGCACATGCCAGGTCTGTGGATTCAATCTCAATGTAGGGTGTGCAGGAGGCAGCCGTTCAATGATTCTCTCTCATCGTAGATGTTTCTATCTCTCTCCCTCTCCCTTCTCTGAAATCAATAAAAAAAATATTTTAAAAATACTCATTTAATATTCTCAACAACACTATGTAGGTACTATTATTGTTGAACTTTAACAGATGCAGAAAATACTTGGAGAAATTAGTTTGCTGAATCTGCTTCTCCCTAACTTCAGACCTAGCTACACTGTAGACCAATCTGAAATACTGCTTCCTTATAGATAAAATTTTTAAAAGTTAACTCAAAGTATCTGTGCTACATTAGTATTTAAAATTTTTGTTTTGTACCTAAAGGGGTTGGGCTTCCTCCACTGCCCCTAACTCCATCTCTTTAGGTCTCTTATTTTGGATTTTCTCATTAAAGTGATTCAGTTCTTTCAAATTGAAATGAGTAAGAGGTGTTGAAAGTCACTTACAACCTTACAACAGTAACTAATCCTTTTTAAATAATGTTATAATGAAATTTTTTACATTCTTTTTTTTTAAATATATTTTATTGATTTTTTACAGAGAGGAAGGGAGAGAGATAGAGTTAGAAACATCGATTCAGCTGCCTCCTGCACACTCCCCACTGGGGATGTGCCCGCAACCAAGGCACATGCCCCTGACCGGAATCGAACCTGGGACCCTTCAGTCCGCAGGCCGACGCCCTATCCACTGAGCCAAACCGGTTAGGGCATTTACATTCTTAATTTAAAGTTTTCCTGAAATGGAGCTTTATTGCTGCTTGAGGGCTCTGATTAAAATTAAATCTTTGATTTCAGCGAATGTCACCCTATATCAGTGATGGCGAACCTTTTGAGCTCGGCGTGTCAGCATTTTGAAAAACCCTAACTTAACTCTGGTGCCGTGTCACATATAGAAATTTTTTGATATTTGCAACCATAGTAAAACAAAGACTTGTATTTTTTATATTTATTTTATAGATTTAAATGCCATTTAACAAAGAAAAATCAACCAAAAAAATGAGTTCGCGTGTCACCTCTGACACGCGTGTCACAGGTTCGCCATCACTGCCCTATATCAACCATTGTCCCACTTGAATATTTTGTCAGAGAGTGGTTCTAAGAAAGTGGCTGTCCTCCTGGTATCTAATTAATACACATATATTTGGGGGTGAGGTTGTTCATTCACTCACAGTATCAAACTTCTAAGGTTAGAAATATAATACACAGCTACCAACCAGCCTGGACCCCATTTAATAACCGAGTCCTGCTTTGTTGTGTGGTTTAGCCCCTCAGTGGTGAGGCATTCCATTAACTGCCCACTGAATAAAGTAATTTATTTGGCAAAAGTTGAATTTTAAATATTAGTTAGTCTCCTCCTCTTTAATTTGCCAGGAAGATTGCATTTCTAATTTTAACTGTTACTTTCTTCTAGCTTATCAAACAACATAATGAAGATGTTTTAGAATATAAAAGAAGAAATGGGTTGGAATAAACTTTTTAAATGCTAATACTGTAAGTATGCAATTTTATAGGATTAATAGATTATGCAAGATAATTAAACTCTTTATTTTTATTGATTGACTTTTAGAGAGGAAGGGAAAGGGATAGAGATAGAAACATCGATGAGAAAGAAACATCATCAATCAGCTGCCTCCTGCATGCCCCCTATTGGGGATGGAACCTGAAAACTGGGCATGTGCCCTGACCGGAAATCAAACTGGTGACCTCTTGGTTCCTGGGTCAATGCTCAAGACCCTCAATTGCTGAGCCACACTGGCTGGGCTGAACTCTTTTTAAATAATGTATTTTGGTTGTGTGTTTTTCCTATTAGATTTATGCTTTCTAGCACCTATATTCCTGTCTGTGACAAATTTATAAATTTTTAGTATCTTGGTCTATCACAGTGATGGCGAACCTTTTGAGCTCGGCGTGTCAGCATTTTGAAAAACCCTAACTTAACTCTGGTGCCGTGTCACATATAGAAATTTTTTGATGTTTGCAACCATAGTAAAACAAAGACTTATATTTTTGATACTTATTTTATATATTTAAATGCCATTTATTTTATTTTTATTTTTTTTAAAGTTACCATGATTTTATTTCTGTATCCCAATCCAATGCTGTTTCTAACTGGAAATTTTATTTCTATTTGCACAGGTGAAGCCAGTAATACAGAACTATAAAAAAGAATGCATTAAATCAAAACACTAAATTTAAATGCCATTTAACAAAGAAAAATCAACCAAAAAAATGAGTTCACGTGTCACCTCTGACACACGTGTCATAGGTTCGCCATCACTGGTCTATCGTCACTTAGTGCAGCGGTTCTCAACCTGTGGGTCGCGACCCCTTTGGGGGTCGACCGGCCCTTACACAGGGGTCACCTAAGACCATCGGAAAACACATATATAGTTACATATTGTTTTTGTGATTAATCACTATGCTTTAATTATGTTCAATTTGTAATAATGAAAATACATCCTGCATATCAGATATTTACATTACGATTCATAGCAGTAGCAAAATTACAGTTATGAAGTAGCAACGAAAATAATTTTATGGTTGGGGGACACCACAACATGAGGAACTGTATTAAAGGGTCGCGGCATTAGGAAGGTTGAGAACCACTGACTTAGTGTAATCATTTTTAACCATTATGCTCTGCCTGTGTTCAAAGAAAATTATGTTTAAGAGTGCAACCAAAAATCTTATTTTATTAAATCTAATAGGACTATACACAGTGCCTTCATAGCACTTATGATAAGTTATAATTATTTGTGTATTTGGTTTTTTTAAAAAATATTTTTATTGATTTTTTACAGAGAGGAAGGGAGAGGTATAGAGAGTTAGAAACATCAATGAGAGAGAAACATTGATCAGCTGCCTCCTGCACACCCCCTACTGGGGATGTGCCCGCAACCAAGGTACATGCCCTTGACCGGAATCAACCTGGGACTCTTTGGTCTGCAGGCCGACGCTCTATCCACTGAGCCAAACCAGTTGGGGCTGTATTTGGTTCTTAATATCTACTTGTCATATCCCCCACTTAAGTGTAAATTCCATGAGAACAGGAACCCTGTCTGTTTTATTAATCACCATGTAGTCAGCAACTTGCTCAGTGTCTGATCCAACTAGGAGTTTCATATTTGTTGGATAGATGAATGTATAAGGGCAGGCAATAGATTGTTAATTTTTTACTGTGTGACCATTTCAGTATGATTGGTACTACAACTGAACAATCCCTGGTAAAACATAGCTGTGAACAAAATAACATATATGATCTCTGTATGGTCTGTGATTCTGTGATTTAAAAGATAGTGAGTTTATGTATAATATATATACATATAGATAGATTATGTGCCTGCAACCAAGGTATCTGCCCTTGACCGAAATCGAACCTGGGACAATCAATCTGCAGGCCGAGACTCGGCTCTTTAGAGTTTGATTATCCAAATATTTGCTTTTTAAAAAAATATTAATATCAACTTGCCCATATCACTACTTCAGCCAATCAAGAGATAAAAATGAAATAGATATTTAAATCAAAATCAGATGCTTTTACTACTCTTTTGTAGTTCAATTAAATTATTTTTTGCTAAAACTTAAAATGAGGTGTTGGTGCTCTTTGTGGATTTGTTTTCTAGACTTTCTTGATGCTCTAGGGTTAATTATTCAGAATGGTTTAATTTTAATATATCTGTTGGTTAATGCTGTAGTTTTAATTTCTTTTCTCTTCATTATAGGTATGCTCCATATAGAGTTGAAAGCGAGAGAGAAAAGTTATATGTGAATCTATGTAATCAGCATTTGTGTTTTGCATCATTAAATGAAAAAATAAAAATACATCTGTATTCTTCAGATTGTGTATGTTGTGACAATGTGTGGAAAATATCAATTCTAAGGTATATTATTAGAAGTATTTCATTGTGGAAGGTAACCTTCTGATAACAGAGTCAGTAGTAATGAAGGGCCCATTGGTAAGAAAATTTGTTAAGAAGATAGGCTTAAAAATCTCTGTTGAAGGATTTATTCCTTATATTAACTTTTAATTTCTAGTGAAAGCATTTATTCTTTAGTGTGTCACAGAGATAGAGCTACTTTATTACTCAATTTACAAAAGAACCCAAATGCTCTTTTCTTCTAGCAGCGTCATTTTGGTTAAGGCAGAAAGTAATGTTGAATCCTGTTATCAGAGTTCCTTCTCACTCCATTTCTTTGAATTTGAATGATTTTCACTTGGATTACTGATTATGGTAACACAAAGTTTATTGTCCCTTTTTGCTAATATTACTTTCATTCAATGATTAGCAAGCTCTTGACTGTTTCAAAGAGGAGTGGAGAAGGGAAAGAGTTGATAGACACAATTAAAATACACTTCATTTTGCCCTGGCTGGTGTCTCAGTGGTTAGAGTGTTGGCTTGTACACTGAAGGGTCTGGGATTAAATTCCTGGTCAAGGGCACATACCTGGGTTGTGGGTTCAATCCTGGGCTGGTCAGGGCACTTGCAGAGGCAACCAATTGATATGTCTCTCTTACATCGATGTTTCTCTCTCTGTCTCTCTCTCTGTCCCTCCCTCCTTCCCACTCTTTAAAAATCAGTGGAAAAAATACCCTCAGGTAAGAATTAACAAAAAAATAAAATAACGTACACTTCATTTATTCCTCATCAAAACCCTTTCTTGTAATCAATTAAAACTTTGTTAACTTGTAATTTAAAAACTTAGTTTACCATACATTTAAAAATTCAAAAAAATAAAAATTCATTTTCTCTCCATTCTGATGTTAAGTGGAAGGTTTATTGCCTTGTGATTAGCTTTATGTGTGTTTTGGGCTCTGGCCAACACTTATTGTGGGAGATTCATGACAATATCTTGGGAAGTCCCTTCTGAATATAAATTCAGAGTTACTTATTTTGGAATAATTATGTAATCCAAATTCAGTGAAAGACCAGACATAGCAGTAACTGTTAACTGTTGCCAATTTGGAGTCCCAGCTGATAAGAGCTGAAAGGACCTTAGAGGTGATGTAGACCAAGCTCATAATTTTACAAATGCAAAACCAGAGGTGAGAGTTTGCCCAGCATCACTGTGGTAGGTAGAATAATGGACCCCCAGAGATGGCCATGTCCTACTCTCTGGAATCTGTCCATATTATGTTATATGGCAAAGGGGGATTAAGTTTACTAGTCAGCTGGAATTGAGATGGGAGAGATTATCCTGAATTAGCTGGTTGGGCCCATTGTATTCACAGGGTCCTTACAAATGGAAGAGGGATACACAAGTGTGTGTGAGTATGAAGCGATGTGAGAAAGACTCAACTGGCCATTGCTACCTTTGAAGATGGAACGGGGCCAAGAGCCAAGGAGTAGAAAAGTCAGCCACACAGCTCTGTTGTCACCTTGATTTTAGCCCACTGAGCCCCGTGTAGGATTTCTCACCTACAAAACCATAAGACAATAAATCTTTTGTGTTTTAAAGACTGAGTTTGTTATAGTAGCAGTAGGAAACTACTATTTTCACATTGCAATAGACACCAAGAAGTCAGCTATCAATTCCCAAGTCAAGGCACTTTCCACTAAAACACTTAAAATTTTATATTTCTGAAGGGAAGGGAAAACTAAGACACTTGAAATTCTGGAAACTGATAGCCTCAGTTGGAAATAAAATATAACTGCAATGACACTACTGTAGGTCTGGCCTTGAGAAAAGTTACCCTGTGTGGACTTCCATCCTGATTGTGCCTGTACAACTCCAAGGGGAGCTGTCATGAAGACCTGGGCTGTCCAAGAAAACGTTCTGCAGAGATGGAAATGTTCTGTCTGCGATCCAGTACAGCAGCCACTACTCCCATGTGGCGACTGAGCATTTGGAATGTGATTAATGTGACTGAATTTTTCATATTTAACTTGAATTAATTCAAGTAGCCACAAGGGGCTGGTGGCTGGTTAGCACAGAAATAGATTATGCTATGAGTAAACACCTCACAGAGTTGTGCTACATAGTAACACTGGTTAATAAAAAAGAAAGAGAAGCTTTCTAAATTAAATATTGAAACAGGACTCAAATTACTTTAAACTAGAAAAGGGTTATGAAGATACAGAGTGACTCACAGACCCCAAGAATAGGAATACACCTGGACTCAGAAATAATTGGGGCCTGGGACTCAAATGTCATTAATACTTTTGCTCTTGGCTCTGCTGTCTGTGTACAGCCTCTGCATGCAGACCTCTTCCCCAAAACACATTGTAAAAAGGCCACAATCAATAGTTCCTGGATCTACACTTCAGTTCAAGAGAGTAACTGGACTGGAAAGGAATCATTCTGATTCTAAATTCCCAGAGGAACTGTGGTCAAATGATGGTTCCTTTGGTAATAACATGAAAGACTTGCCATGAAAAAGAGGATGCAGACAAAATGTAGTCATATGTCAAATGCAGTCAAGTTTTTTATTAGATCAAAATCAGGTAGACCTTTTTTCACATTTCATGTCTATGAAGAAGTCATTTAAATTATTTTAAGTTGCCATGGGGGAAAAAACAAGCTATACAAACTCAATTTCAAGTATAAGAAGTTGTTATGGGTTGAATTGTGCCCCCCAAAAAGATATATGGAAGTCCTAATCCCCAGCATCTCGGAACTGGGGAAGTAGGGCCATTGCAGATGTGATTAAGGTGAGTTCATACTAATCCAATATGACTGATGTGTTTATAAAAAAAAAGACAGACACATAGGGAGAAGACAATCATGTAATGATGGAAGCAGAGATTGAAATGATGCATCTACAAGCCAAGGATTACTAGCAAACAGAAACTAGAAGAGGCAAGGAAGGACTCTCCCATACAGATTTCAGATGGGGCATGGCCCTGAAAACACCTTAATTTCAGACTTCTGGCCTCTAGAATTGTGAGAGAATACATTTCTATTTTAAGCCACCCAAGTCTGTAGTAATTTGTTATGGTAGCCTTAGGAAAATAATGCAGAAGTGTTTGGAATATCATGTTTATTTTGCTACAGAAGAGAAAGTGAGTAGATGGGGAGGGAGGAGAGACTGAGTGACCTCCAAGAATAGTTTTAGAATTTACCATCTTGATTGCGCTTCCCCCTTCATTTTATCTAAATATTTTAGTCCATCAAGAGGGTGCTTATCAGGACTTTCTTAGTTGCTTGCTAATTTGTCTTCCTAGATACGCTTCTAAATTATTTCACTTTAGCCCTGGCTGTGTGGCTCAGCATCATCCCATTCTCCAAAAGATTGTGGGTTCGATTCCAGGGCAGGTTTGATCCCCAGTGTGCCTACATGAGGCAAAACGGATCAATGTTCCTTTCTCACATTGATGTTTCTCTTTCCCTTCCTCTCTAAAAACCATTAAAACATATCCTCTTGTGAGGATTAAAAAAATAAATTGTTTCACTTTATATTGATCTGTTGAAAACATATGGTCGTGGCCTAAGAACTTAGTGCTAAGAAAAACAAAGCTGTTTCTACCTTTTTGTGGAGTTTAGGAAATCACCCAGCCTTTGAGAATTGCTTTTAATTATATAGCACTTAAGCCTTGAATAAGTGTGATTAATATTGCCAGTAGAGGACCTCACATTATGCATCATGTTTTCAAAACTAGTATCTTTGTCAACAGTCACAATTAGGTGGAGGTCATCTTAGATAAGCTAAGTTATCTCTGACCCTAGATTCTTGTTTTTCCAACAAGACCAAGAAAAATGTCAAGGATGTGCTCAAGGGCAGCATTGCAAACAGTGTGCCTAACAGCTGGGGAACTATTGCCCAAGCCTCACAGAGGCTTCTACAGCGAAGACCTAATGTTAAAATTCTCTAGGGTTTGTGAGAAGCAGCTTGCCACAGAGTGAATCTGACAACCCACAAGCATGTCCCCTCGTGAGAAATGTTTCAAGACGTGGGAAGAGTGTGCCATCAGACTGCAAAGCCACATACCCTCCAGGAGCAGTGGAGTAGGTAGAAAATTCCCTCCCATCAAAGAGGCATGAGCTTTTCACTAAGATGAAAGGGATGTGGAGAAGTGACACTATTTCTCCCAGTTTTGCCTTTCCCAGCTGGGATGGCCCCATCTAATCTAGAGGATACCATAAAGCCCCCACTGGACTCCACCATGTATCAGATAAGATGGTGGGATTGAATGGATCCTGTCATATGTACACTGAAAGGCAGCAGGTCACAGTAAGGGAGCCTTGAATTTTGGCTTAGGCTGGAAGTAGAATCTAATACCACCTGCTCCAATTAGCTGAGCATGTTTCACACCTAATGTGCTTTACAGCTTACAACAACCCTGTGAATAAAAATTATCTACATTTCACTCAGACCAGTAAATCTGACTCCCAAACTCGTGCTCCTAACCACACTATTATACTACCTTGATATTTTTCATATGTAACAGTGATAATCAACATTCCCCTACCTGCTCTTTAGGGGTGTTGAAGACGAACTACAAAAATAGGTGTGACAATACTCTGGAGAAAGTTTTTAAAGTCCTATATAACCTGTGTTTTATTTTTGCATTTTTAAAACCAGTTTAGTTGTAACCAAAGGCCTTAGATTACATTTATGACTGATATCTGACCAGAGATTTTTAAAAATATATTTTTATTGATTTCAGAAAGGAAGGGAGAGAGAGAGAGAAACATCAATGATAAGAGAGAATCATTGATCGGCTGCCTCCTGCATGCCCCCCACTGGGGATCGATCCTGCAACCCAGGCATGTGCAAGGCCAATGCTCTCTCCACTGAGCTAAACCGGCTAGGGCTGGCCAGAGACTTCTTTGTGATCATTGACCCCATTGATGGTGGGCTTGTTTCGGTGTCTCTTTAACCTGATATTTTAACCTCT